TGTGCCTTCCCTGGAACTCACTCTGTAGCCCAGGCTGGCCTGGAACTCACAGAGATCCACCTGCCTCTGCCTTGTGAGTGCTAGGATTAAAGGCATGCGCCAATGCCGCCTAGCTTAGTTTGAAATTGTAAAGATTAATACCCTTAAAACAGTGAAAACTTAATGAAGAAGGCATCTAAAAGAGAGACGTTCAGTGTGGGCATACATACTAAATTTCAGAGAAGATTATGGGTAGAGATGTTTTTAGGATTTGGTAGGAAGTTGAGCTGGAGATAATGCATCCCGAATTGTACAAATACAGTAGATTAGCCTTGTAAAATACTACTGATGATCAGGTAGATACTGGCTTGAGAATGGACCCCCCCCCCCCCCCCGTTTTCCCCCCAGTAATATGGATAGCAAATTGACATTAGTCTCTTTCTAGTTTGGGTGTGCTTGATTGGAGCAGGTTTAAAACAGAATGGCCTGAATGGAACTATTTGAAAAAACATCTATCGTGAAGCCCTTCTTGAAACAATTTTTAACCTTTTAAAAAATGTTTTGAGATGATAAGATTTCTCTCTTCCCTTTGTCCCCCTTTGGACTCTCTTATATACCGTTTCTTTCTCTTATTCAAGTTAATGGCCTCTTTTATCACTAACTGTTACTGCATGCATTTATGAATATATATTCATAAACATAACCTGCTCAGGACACACATTTTAACATGGACATTTTGTGATATTTAGGTGGTTCCATCCATCAGGGTAGTGCAGCTTGCTCTTGTGACCATGTCACCAATGTCAATAAGCATTCTGTGGAGACTAGTAATGCTTAACAAAATATCTAAGTTTGCAATATTCAAACCTTATTATATTTTTCTATAGGTGAATACTGTGGCTTGGAGGTTTCTGTCCCTCCAAAATTCCTGTGTTGAGATTCTCACCCTCAAGATGATGGCATTTGGAATGTGAGCTTTGATTAGGTCATAGGAGGAAAGTCTTCTTGGTGCCTTTATAAAAATGCCAGGGTGGGGTAGAAGGAGGGACGGAGGGAGAGAGAGAGAGAGGCAGAGACAGAGACATAGAGACAGAGAAACACACTCACTGGACCATTCTCATGTGAGATTACAGTAATATAGTTCGCATATGAAGTGTCTCTGAAAAAGGGTTATGGTTTGTGAAGCCTTGGTCCTCAGCTGGTGGTGCTGTTGAGAAGTGATTAGCTTATGACAGATGTGACCTAATTAATGGATTATTTGCTTGATGGATTTAAATTCTTGATGGATGCATAATATGGCATTATTGAGAGTGAGATGTAGTGGGGATATGCCATGGAAAGATGGCACCTTGTTTCCAGTCCCTTGATCTGCTTTGTCTGCCATATGGTGAGTAACTTGGCTCCACCATGCACTCTTTGCCATGAAGTTTTGCCTCACAACAATCTCAGAAACAATGGAACCAAACAACCATTGACCAAAACCTTTGGGATGGAGTCAAAATCAAGTCTGACCTAAAATAAAAGTTTCCTCCCTTATGCTATCATTGTCTTAGATATGTGGCTATAGTGACCAGTCTGAACAGCATAAGAGGACCTGTCTCTGAACTAGAAAGAGCACCTTCATGGGGCAGGAAGTTTTCCCCATGTTTTCTTAGACATCTCAGTTGCCAAGACTGTGAGAAATACATCTTTTCATAGGCCTCCCAGTCTGGAATTCTGTTATATCAGTCTGAACAGACTAAGACAGTGAGCTTCTTAGTCCTTTCAGTGTGCTTATCGTGGAGAAACTCAATAGATAGCTGTTCTTCCATTATTGGTTGCCAGCTTAATTACATCTGGAATTAATTAAAAACACACACAACTGGTCACACCTGTGAGAGATTTTTAGTTAATTGTATCATTTGAAGTAGGAAGACTCACCTTATATCCAGATCACTTGAGGTGGGAAGTCCCACTTTAAATCTGGATCATTTGAAGTCAGAAGGCCCACCCTAAGACTGGAGCACCCCTTTTCATGGCAGCCTATATAAAGGACATGTAAGAAGGAATCTTGCTTTTTGCCTGTTTTCCTGCATTGTAAGTTCATATATCCAGCTTCTAAGGCATTCCTTCACTGGTAGTGGAGCTAGAGATCCAGGCTCTAATTCAGGATTCTGAAGAATAATGAAGAGCAGTTGAGACATCTAACCTCATGGATTGGACAATTATTGTATTCTTGGACTTTCCATTCAGAGACAGCCATTGTAGGACTAGCTGGACCATAGCCTGTAAGCCGCTGTAATAAATCCCCATATATATGTATATGTAAATATACATATATATAATAAATATAAATATATAAAACACATATTGTGTTAATTTGAACATATCCTAACAGTTTTGTTCCTTTAGAGCAATGGTTCTCAACCTATGGGTCACAACCCTTTAGGGATCACATGACCCTTTTACAGGGGTTGCATATCGGATATCCTACATATCAGATATTTACATTATGTTTCATAACTAGCAAAATTAGAGTTACAAAGTAGCAACAGAAATAATTTTGTGATTGGGGGTCAGCACAATATGAGGACTATTAAGGGGTTGAAGCATTAGGAAGGTTAAGAACCACTGCTCTAGAGGACTCCTGCTAATATGCAGTGATATTTGTCAATCTTCTTGGCCATGGAACCAATTTTGCCAGTAACATTAACTATGTCTAAGGGTGTAAATGAATGTGTGGAACATATGTGGGAAATATATGCAAGCTAATACTTAAAGTAGACAGCACATCATCCTTATGCTGTGTGTTAGTAATGACTGAAAAAGATTGTCCCATCAGAATCTATTGTGGTTTCCTTTAGACTACAGATCATCAACAGGGTTTTCTTGATAACTGCTCTAGCTATTTAGAATACATAACATTGTTTCTGCAGAGCTATTTTTACACATATAATGAGCTCACCAATACAATTTAAGTATAATTTAGATGAAAAGTCCTTCATTATCTTCAGAGAAAATGTTATTACTTTTATTAAATGGTATTCTTAAAATAAGATGGTGTTTGAAGACAGAAGGATCAAACTGTTGCTGTTAGGTTAAAAGGCAAATCATTCTGAAAATCCCTTTGTTAATTGGACAAGTATTATCACCAAGTGATGCTAAACATGCTGTGAGAGGAGAATGTGTATTTCTTTTTCTTTTTTTTTTTTTTTTTTGGTTTTTCGAGACAGGGTTTCTCTGTGTAGCTTTGTGCCTTTCCTGGGACTCACTTGGTAGCCCAGGCTGGCCTCGAACTCACAGAGATCCGCCTGGCTCTGCCTCCCGAGTGCTGGGATTAAAGGCGTGCGCCACCACCGCCCGGCAAGAATGTGTATTTCTATTCAGTGAGAGAATCAAAAGTCAAATGGACACAAACTTTTGGTGAAATGTCTTTTGGCTAAGTCTACAAAATAATGGGTAGAAAGTAATAGCTCAAAATACTAATATAAGAAGTCTGGGAGTGAAGCTCAGTGGTAGAGCACTTGCCCAGCATGTATAATGATCTAGGTTCAATGTTCAGCACTGAGAAGAAAATTAACGTTAAGTATCTCTTAGAGCTTACCAAACTTTTTTTTTTTTTTCTACTTCCCATACTTTTTCACTGCATGAATCAGTGAAAAATTTCTGGTCTTATTCCTGGTGTAAACTTTTATAACAAAACTTCTTATAAGTATAGAGGAAATAGTCTCCTGCTGTAGGAGAAGGTGAAGAATTTTTTTCTCTCTCAGCTCCCAACTACATCCAAAAACAAATCAGCATAAAGGGTATAAAGGTAAAGATAGAGAAAAGGTGAAGTGAAAGTAGAGAAATAAGGTCACCAACTCTTAAAATCAATACACAAAGTTCCTCCTCCTTCTCCTCCTCACCTCTTTTCCTTCCCCCTGTGGTGGTTTGAGTGAAAATGGCCCCCATAGGCACATTGGGAGTGACACTATTAGGTGTGGTCTTGTTGGAGGAAGTATGTCACTGGGGATGGGCTTTGAGGTTTCAAATGCTCAAGCCAGGCCCAGTGGCTGGCTCTCTCTCTCTCTTTTTCTCTCTCTCTCTTGTCCACAGATCCAGATGTAGAGCTCTCAGCTACATTTCCAGCACCGTATCTGCCTACTTTCTGCCATGCTTCATGCCATGCTGGTAATGGACTAAACCTCTGAACTGTAAGACATCCCCAATTAAATGTTTTCCTTTATAAGAGTTGCCGTGGTCATGGTGTTCCTTCACAGTAATAGAAACTTTAACTAAGACAGAAGTTGGTAGCAGGGACCTAGATATTGCTATAATAGGCTGGACCATGCTTTTGTTTGGAGGAATATGGAACACTTTGGAACTTTGGACTAAAAAAAAAAATTGGACATTTTAAGCTGGGCTTAGTGGGCCATCCTAGTAGGAGCATGGAAGACAGTGGTACTGAGGGTGATTTGAACTGTAGGGGTCTGGCTCAAGAGATTTCAGAGGAGAGGAATATTAGTATATGGCCTAGAGATAATACTTGCAATATTTTTGTGAAGAATGTGGCTGCTTCCTGCCGTTGTCCAAAAAACATCTGCCTGAAGCTAAGAGTTATGATTAATAGCTTTGGTAGAAGAGATTTCCAGACAGCCTAGTATTAACTGTGTTCCTTGGTTTTTAGTGCCCATGCTTATGCAGATCTACAATGAAAAGGAGCAAGCTGAGCAAGGAACAATAAAACATACAATTTGAGGAGAAAAGGAGCACCAGGGTAAATAGACTAACAAACAGCCTGATGCTAAGTGGAATCAAGGGAGTGGTGACCTCAGAGCAAGACCCCATCCAGCTAAGCTTCTGTCTTAGGGCTTCTATTGCTGTGAAGAGACACCATGACCACAACAATTCTTTTTTTTTTTTAATGGAAAACTTTTATTCATTAATCAGATTCAATAAGCTAAAAGCAGGAACATCTTTTAAAAATGATAATATATGAAGATAGCACATCATTTTATTGCAAATTAGTCACTTTTAAAAAAAATGGATGAGAGAAGACATCAAACTGTGTGCACTCTGGAGAAATGGAGAAGTGACAACTTCTGATCCATGAAGCTAGATTCTTCAGCAGGCTGAAGCTTGCTGGTTCTAGAGCCCTGGGGCTCTTCACTTGATGTTGAAAAGTTTGGTGGAACTGCAGGAGCAGCTTGCTCATTTCTGCGCATTGTCATATCTACTTCCCATTCAGGAGGATTGCCAGTGAAATCTCCTTTACTTTCAGCTTCACAGAAAAGAGGATACCGACTGTGCATCACACAGGACAGATGCATCTCAGCTCGTGCAGTAGAGTTTTTTGAGATATATGTAAGTTTAGTCTGAAGCAGAGTGACATCACAAAGAACTTTATTGACAATGCCGCAGGAGTAAGTACGGTAGGTAAAGTCATAGACATCGTTTGGCCAGACGGTGTTCACGGGACAGCCGATTCCTAAAAACACTTCATCAGGTTCCATAAAAATATTGGGGAATAACGTGGCCTTAATCCTGAGATAGAACCAATGATTGGTGCACTGCTGGAGACTATCTCAGACACAACAATTCTTATAAAGGGAAACATTTAATTGGGTCTGGCTTACAATTTCAGAGGTTTAGTTCATTAGCATCATGGTGCATGGCAGCATTCGGGCAGACATGGTGTTGGAGAAGAAGCTGAGAGTTCCACATCTTGATCTGCAGGCAACAGGAAGTGAACTATGACATTGGGCATAGCTTGAGCATAGAAGACCTCTAAGTCCACCACCACAGTGACACACTTCCTCCAACAAGACCATGCCTACTCCAACAAGTCCATACCTCCTAATAGTGCCACTCCCTCTGAGGGCCATTTTTTTTTTCAAACCAAATCTTCCAACATGTGAAAAGAAATTAATGAAAGGCAAAAAGGATATAAAGAAAATCTTAGGGCCAAGCATGGTGGCACATGCCTTTAATCCCAGAACTATAGAGGCAGAGGCTGGTAGATCTCTGAGTTTGAGGCCAGGCTGGTCTACTGAGCAAGTTCCAGGACATCCAAGATTAGACAGTGAAGGAAATCACTGAAAGCAGAAAGTTAGTGAGGATGTAATTGAAAGATCTCTGAGTTTACTGGAGGTAGTGGTGGTAGGGTGGTTGTGGCACGTCTTTAATCCAAGCACTCGGGAAGCAGAGGCGGACAGATCTCTGTGAGTTTGAGGCCACCTGGTCTACAGAGTAAGTTTCAGGAGAGCTAGGACTATTTCACAGAGAACTCTATCTCAAAAAACCAAACCAAACCAAAAACAAAACAAAACAAAACCCCAAAGAACAAACAAACAAAAAAAAAAAACTTTGAGTTCAAGGCCAGCCTATTCTACAGAGCAAGTTCCAGGACAGCCAAGCTTAGGCAGTGAAGAAAATCATCAAAAGTGTAAAGCTAGTGAAAATATATTTGAACAAGAGGGCCATGTTCCAGCCCTAGCAAGCAGCAGAATGTGGCAGCTTTGATCATGCGGTTCTGGTTTTAGAGTCAAGGATAAAAGAAAGGCATTAGGGAATCTCCCTCCTCAACTAAGGAAAACTGCTGAGGCATGGTGTGTGGCAAGGGTGTCCCTGAATGGAGGCCTAGAGAAACCACTGTATGAAGCTTTGAAGGAGAAGCCTGGATTGCCCTGGAGATCCCAAGTTGTTGGAGATGCCAGAGCCATGGGATAACTGCCAAGGAGAGCTAACAGGGAGTGGAGCCAGACCAAGAGAAAAAGTGTGTTGCAGCCAACAAAGCTGAAAGGAGTTGGAGATCTACAGAGCACTTTGACATCAGACATGGAAATGCAGAGTTTGGAGTTTGCCCACTGGGTTTTTTTTTTTTTTTT